CGGTGGCTCCTGCGGCCGTGGAGGTTGCTGGTGTGCCTCGTGGGCTTCCCGTCAGCCGCATCCGGCTCCAGGCAGGTGGCCGGGCGGGCGTCCGCCTGGCTCTGGGCGACCTGCAGGTTGGTGAGCTTGCAGCGGCCCCCGGCCGAGCCGGCGCTGCTGGGCGAGGAGGAGGAGGAGGCTCCGGAACGAGCTGCCTCTGGGTCGCAGCCGATGAAGACCTGCGAGCCGTCCTCGGGCCCCAGCCCGGGGTGGACGTAGGCCTGCATGGGCAGCGCGTTCCGGTACGACGGGCAGCAGGAGAACCAGGAGCTGAGCACGTCCCGGCGGCGCAGGCAGTGATGGACGAAGATGAAGAGCCCCAGTGCCACGGCGGTGACGCCGTAGAGGCAGCTGAAGACAATGTTCAGGTACCAGCGCTGGGACACGGCCATGGCGCCGAACGTCCACAGCGCCACGTACAAGGCGTGGGTGGTCACCAGTGCCCAGAACTGCACCCGCAGGGAGTAGACACCGTCCCCCTCGGGGCAGGGTGGCCCCGAGTTCAGTGTCACCGAGATGGACCCAGAGTCTGTCAGGAGGTCACCGGTGCCCCCCAGCCGTGGCGGTGGCTCCAGTGGCTCCGGGATGTCTTTCCGGCGTAAGGGTTGGCACTGGAGGCTCAGCCCGGTGCAGAGGAAGTAAATCCAGGTGACGAGCAGGATGAAAGCCACGGGGACGTAGAAAGCTCCCAGGCTGGGCCGCCACACCAGCCAGCAGCTGCGTGGGACGAGAGGGGCTCTGAGGGGTCGTGGCATGGAGGTGCTCAGCAGCCCTGCCCTGATGGCACGGGCTCTGCAGAGCTGTGCTGCTTGCCTGGCTGATTTTTCCCCAATACATGGGTAACTCTTGGGAAAAACCTCACTGGCTTTTCCCCATCTTGCCCAGATTCCCAGTTCCCTGCCCCAGCGGAGGGAGGCCACCCATGTGGGGAGGAAGGAATGTCGAGCRGGAACACTTACTAGGGGTTGTTGTCGTGGTAGTTGTG